CTTCACAGTTCAAATTAACATCATAAGATATTAGGGAGAATTGTTTAAATACTTGGGAAGAGAAGGTCTTCATTAATACTTATAAACATAGGCATTTCTCACTTAAACAAATTAGCAAAAATCATTCCCAAGTAAGAACCATGGTAGATGGAGGATATGTAGTAGTAGAAAGACTTCTCAGTGTAGACTTTTTTTGTATATCATTTTGCTGTTTGAACCATGCAAACCTGGTAATAAAATATGAATCTACAGGGTAATACACACATAAACGGTATTTGTGGGGAACAGATTTTCCTGTAACTTCACAGCACTAAGTAGGAGCCATGTAACCGTGGGAGCAGTCCTTTGAATATACAAAGTGAAGAGGTATTTTCTTTAGGTTTTGAGACACTATTCCCTACTTCATTTAAGTTTATCTCTTCTTAACTGAGTAGACTTAATTTGAAAAGGTTAGTTCAACTAGAAATAGGACATGATTTTGGTTGAAGCCAAAATATATACTATTATAGCACTAGTATTCCACTTGTCTTATGAAAAACTAGTTACCACTGACAAATTCTAGATGAAGTTTCAGGTGTTCTCATAGCCCAAAACATGGAGGAAAATCAACTTTTTTCCCCTTTGCCTAAATCTTGAGTCCTCAGAACTAACAAAAGGGTTAGTTAGAGTTAGTTAGTTAGAGTTAGTTAGTTTTTTAGAGTCCTCAGTCCTCTAACAAAAGGGTTTATGGATCCATTCCTAACAAGTCAAATTTTTTTTGGCTTCCCTGCAAAGTGAGATTATTTAGATAGCTAACTTCTGCTGGGTACATACACATATTGTCCCTGAGAATAAGAATTAATTTAAGAGCCAGGTAGGAGATTTAAAGTAGACAGTAGAATATAATTTCCAGGAAAAGACTCAACATGTACATCTTCATAAAATTTTATATTATTTTCATTTATGTTTTAAAGTAAAAGATGTTCCATTGACATAATGTCTTAGTTATAAAGGTAAACAATTTTATTTTTAAAATTGTGATACTACTTTATGCAGTATTTAGAATCATTTTACTAAAGAAAGTCATTTACCACCACAGCAGAGAGTATTAAAATGTTAGTAAGTCCAAATGGTTGTTTTGTTTTGTTCTTCTGGAGAAACATACTTCTAATAACTATAGACACAATTTACTTGTAATAAAGAACACTAATGGGGAGGGTAGGAGGTAATTAACTAGGCCCTTAATAATGGGCTTTTCTAGTTCAAGGAATCTTATAATTGCCCCTGAAGCTAGTTGTGAAGGAAGTTGCAAGATGAAATATCTAGATTTGTGTAGTAGTCATTACAGGAAAAATGTTGCCTTCTGGCAAACTTTGGCACCTTTATTATGAAAAATGCCTTTTTAATGATAAGCAATATAGATTGTCAAAATTATTTTGGAGATAGAAGTCCAGTGCCTCCTGTTTACTCCAGATTAAATTAGGAAATAAGGGCAAGCCTCTCCAGTGAGCACAGTGTTTGCTCTCTTTGGGGAGAAAACAGCCTTTTGGCCAAACTTTACACACTTAGGTAGTACTAGTTTGTTAACCTTAAAAAGATATTCTCATGATTAATAAGGGATGATGAAGTGTGTGGCAGTTTTCCTGAAAATTACTATGTTTTAAACGATTGAAATGGAAAAGCATGGGGAATGTTTTTATTAAATCAATACCAAAATATGCAGATTGAAATGTAACTTAGATTACATAATTTCTGCAAATGTTATCAGCTCCAAACCAGCTTCCTTTATTGTCAGTGAACCCCAAATAATATTAATTTCTCTTTTTGGGATTGCCTGTTTTGTACCATGCAAGCTACTTGAAAAATCTGATCAGTCTGTGCCAGGACTACTGTAGGAAGACAGTTAGTGAAAATAGCATGCTTTGCTTCTGTTGAGGGGGACTGTATGAAAATATATCCTATTTTCAAAATGTTTCTGAAAAGACTTATTTGTGGAAATGTTCCTTGCTATTTAAAACTCTTCAAAAATGCAGGTTTTACAAAATACAAAAATAACCTCCTGAAAGTTTGAAAGGGGAGAGGGGGCTGTTGTGTGGGGGCGGTCTCATTTGCTGCCCACATCCTCCCTCTGTTCAGTGCGTTGTGTGCTTACGGGTTCCCTGGAGCGGATCACCATATAATTGATGTGCAGTCTGCATTGCTGAATCCTGGACTGCACCATTCTGTGTTCAAGGGAAGATGTAATCTGATCCCTCTGCTGCTGAGGGAGGAATCTGTTCAGTCAAGGCTTTGACAGGGCATAGTCTCCTCCAATAATCTTCTCCGTTCTCTCTCATTATTCCCTCGAGTTCTCCTCAGTCAAGCTGCATGTATGTATGTGTGTCCCGAGAAGCGGTTTGATACTGAGCTGCATTTGCCTTTACTGTGGAGTTTTGTTGCCGGTTCTGCTCCCTAATCTTCCTTTTCTGACGTGCCTGAGCATGTCCACATTAGAATCTGTGACATACCTACCTGAAAAAGGTTTATATTGTCAGAGACTGCCAAGCAGCCGGACACACGGGGGCACAGAATCACTGAAGGGGAAAAATACAGAAAATATGGGTTTCTACGGCACATTAAAAATGATTTTTTACAAAGTAAGTAATCTGTTTTCTTCCTATGCTGTGTGATTGTGTGTGTATGCCTGCCTGAGAAGGAAAATCTGTATCATCAGAGATGGCTGCAGTATCCTCTAATTTTGGTAGGTAGCTTGATGTCTGGTATTCTGTTTTATATCATGAATGTAAGCAAATAATGGAAAGACTGTGGGCTAGAAAAAGCTTTAGATTTAAGATAAAATGTATATTTTAATCTGAGAATTTTTCACTAAAAATATATTAAGACTTTAGAAATGTGGTTCCATTAAATGCTGACCTGGAAATACTCTATCCTTAGTTGGCTTTTAGTGAACCTTTTGCCTTCAGTTTTTCTATACCTTATATATAGTTTTTCTTTTTTCATTCGTTGACTCTTTTAAAGTATAGAATGATGAGACTATTTGGGATTTATATTTAAAGAGATCATGTTTACTTTCTGTACCCCTCAAAAATTGCAGACTTAATTTTTGGTCCTGAAGTCAGTATTTTCAGTAAACAGTACAGTATTTAAAAGACTTCAGTAGTCATACAGAAGGTGCTTTACTTTATAAAATATTATTAAAATCCTTTCTCAGTGGTTTCCCTGATACACATTTTGGACTGTTTATTCATTGAAGGGTTTTGAAGATGGAAATAAAGTTTGCTTTTAGTGGCAAATGGTATTTGCACCAATGTTTTTTACAAGATATCCTGGGAAGTTCTGAAAGCCAGTATTACAAACTTAATTAGAATAAACATCAAAGTTTCTCCTAATGATAAAGATAAGAATTTGTGGAAGTTGTAAAAAACTAGATTTTAAGATAGTCTGTACTGACTGACCTTCCTAATGGATTCATTTGCATTTATGTGTATATACGTGTTATCTATAAATTATATACGTGGAAACACGTGGTTACCTATATACTTCAGCTTTTATATTTATGTTTGCTTTTTAATAAAATTATTTGGAGAAAGAAAATAATGGTTTCTGAGAGGAATCACTTTAAAACAATGTAATGAGTACAGAAACTTCTGAAGGGAAGAAACCAGCCAGACCAATTCCATTTCTTTCCAGTAGGTATGTCGTAAACTAAGGTATAAATTGTAGATGAGCTTGTTGTTCCTCACCTCTAGCCCCTAATATCATAAGATCATTCCAGTATTTTAGAAGACTCTTAATGATGACAAAAACATAGTCTTTATTATTCAGTGTGGCTCCAAAAGATTTTTAGTCTCTTTGGTATTTATATTGTATCATGCTATGTTATGATGTTCCTGTGTAAGGCAAGAGGTAGGAAAATAAGACTACTGCAAAGCAAGGATTTTTACCTTCTCATACACATGACGATAGCTCTCCATCACTCTGGAGTATTTTTCCTCCTGTAACTTGGAGTAATACAGTGATTAATTAGTGGACATAAATCTTAAAAAGGGGTTACTGAAATGGAAAAAGTTGAATCTTACCAGATTTTATTTTCTAGTTTTAAAATATACATATAGCCATATAAAAATATTTCAATATTGATGTTGACAAAATACAATTCTGAATATATTTATAGTATAGCATGGCATTACAAACACCTTAAAATTTAGATTTTGGATACACCTTATAGAGAGGCATAACTCATTCTTTTAAAATCTTTCTGTTGTTTCAACTTAGAATATTTTATCCTGAGTATCTGTCAATAGAGCTATATTCTGTATATATATCAATTGATGACTTTTCCCCTCAGCTTTATTATACTATCTCCAGATTTCTCTTACTATTTTTAAAACTGTCCTTATGGCCCATATTAATTGCTCTTTGCCTTATCACTATTCAAGATTATTTATACTGCCCTTTACCTTTTTATAATTGTGTGCATGTTTAAAATTGAGTTTGTTACTTTCATACTTATTTCTGATTTTGAAATTTTGAATTTTGTTTATCTTTATTAAAACATGTTTTTACAGAAAAATGAAGATTTGTGAGAAAGGCATGTTAAATATGATTCTATTCTGTGTGGATTAACATGAGATTTTTCCCTATATTGGTTATTAAATTGGAAAACATGAAAGACATATTACCTCAAGGAGAGAGAGAGAGAGAGAGTGAGTGTGTGTGTGTGTGTGTGTGTGTGTGTGTATATATATATATATATATATATATGAGGAATATCAGTTTTCAAATCATCACACACCGTTCTTCTGGATAAAATATTAGGAGGAAAAATTCACCTTTCCAGTCCGTTCAGAGTAAAACAAAGTAGAACAAATAGAAGAAACTATTAAACATTTATTTTATGTATTTAATTACCATTGTAGACATATGAAAATTAAAGAATTTTAAAATATTAACCATGCTAACTCAAGATTTGATAGTTAGATAATTTTTTTAAAATGTATCTTATTTGTTTTACCTTATAGATGAAAAGAAAGTTGGACCATGGTTCTGAGGTCCGCTCTTTTTCTTTGGGAAAGAAACCATGCAAAGTCTCAGAATATACAAGGTAATATTAAATGTAATGATTGATTATCTCATGATTCTCACTTTTTAAGAGTGGATTCTGAAAGTGTTTTAGTTTATTCTTATAGAATAATGGTGTTAGTAGTATGGTTGACTGTTTAACACATTTTGAGATTACTGAAATTGAGAACTATATCATTTTAAATAAGAGGACTACCACTATAGTTTGTTTTGTTACTAATACATTTGAAGTATGACACAAACAGAATTTCTCTTGTGAACAAAAATTTAAAATTACAAAATTTAAGGAATTTTAAAAAGAAAACCATAAAATATGAATATGAGCATCTGTATTTTGTTCCTATAGCAACAACTGTTACAGGGTAGACATTTGTGTGTGGAAATTTGAAGATACATTTATTAGCAGTGAAATAAAACTCACAATTACTAACGAAATCTTATTTCATGAAATTAATATGTTAGAAATTTTCTCTTACTTGGTAGGTCTTAAGTTTTTAACACATGCATTTCTATACCAGTAGAATGGTTTCTATAACAACTAAATATAATTGTAATCTTTTTCTACTTCAGTCCATCATTTTTGGATTTTATATCAGTATAAAATTTTTCCCACTCTCACACTAATTAGGCTAACTTAAGCATAATGTCTGTTGCCCAGCCAATTAAAAATGGCTTTGAATGTCACTTGGAATGTCGTATTTTATAATTTAAATGACAGAAATATCTTAGAGCTTTTTTTGGTCTTTAAAAAAGAATTTTTTGTATAATTGCCAGTTTTTAAAATAAGTGATTGAAAGTTAACAGTACAAACTATAAAAACTTCATGGTTATGACATTTCTTCCTTTCTCTCAAAATATTTTGATTTAGTTATTTTTTATTCTATAAGATGCAATAAAACTAACATTGCTCAGATGTAGTTTTTTATTGAACATTATTACAGATTGTATCTCTTACAGGGAAATTGCTTTTTATTTCAGTTGTAGAAAATATTTCTTTCAAATGTTCTTTTATGAAATTTGAAAATCATAATAATTAAAATAGTCTTACATTCGAAAGTGAAGAGATTATACAGAAGAGAAAAATAAAGCTATCATCTCTTAGTTATTCAGGAGCTTCTTTTCTGTGTGATTTTTCTTCTGTTAACTGTCCCCCTTCCCGTTACTCTTTGCCTTTTGACAGTTCTACTGTGTTTTGGCACTTCCACCAGAGGGTGTGGAGGGATAGAAAGACAAGTGAAACTATTCACTTCATTGTGCTTTTCCCTTCTAGTCATGATAAAGTATATCTTGGATGAGAAATTTGCATTTAATGTTCAACTAACTGTTAATGCTATTTTTAAAATGTATCAGTCTTTTATTAATATGGCTGATATTAGGACAAAGGTATTACATTGTTCAGTTGTTTTTAAGGCAACTTAAAATAAATGAGTGCTGAATTTTTATTACAGAACGAATTTTATTTATCTTTAGTTGCTCACTTTTTATATTGACAAAGCAACTGAAAAGGCACATGTTTTACTTTTAGCCTGTTAATGTATAATTTTATTAAAGCAAAATTAGACCAAACAGCATATTTATTTCCATATTTTTTTGTAGACTCTTAGGAAGGTATATATTTGATGTTTTGTGATATTTTTGCAACATTTGCTAATAAGATAAAACTGTGATTTATTTTTTCCAACAGTTTTTTTTCTTAGAAAATTTGTTATTAACACATCCTATTTTATTTTGGAGAAAAAGAAAATAGAACTTACCTTTGAATTTGAAAGAAGAAAAGGTAGATTTAATTGTTGAATGTTAGAGATTTTCTTAGATTTCTACTATTACAGGATTTAAAGGGGCTAGATAAGAAGACTTTTCTGTAAAATCTGGTGATAGAGTCAAATTTTTTAACAAAATAATGCTGCGTAGAAAAAAAAAGCTGGAGGAGTTATTTTACTAGTAATTTATCAGTTTGATTCTTAACTATTATGATGCAATGAATTGAGTGAGGATTTCTTTTTAAATATAATTTCGTTAAAGCAGATCTTCCTGCTGCTTTTTTTCCCAATGTCTTTAAAATGGATATTCAGTATTTACCTTGAGTTTAATTACATGCAGAAATTAGAAAGGAAAGTTTAATACATTCGTAATATAGTTATATATCTATATTATTTCTGCTATTAATTAGTCATTTTTAGAATAGTTAGACAATGTTAGAGAGATCATCTAGTTGGTCCCCATTTTACTAGTGGCAGAATTGAATTTCAAGTTCTTTGAGGCAGTTAAATCTCAAAATTTAAATTATTGTATAAAAATATTTAGATAATCTTATTTTTGCATATAATAGGTCCTTAATACTTAAATGTATTTCTAATTAAGACTGAGTCCTGGCAAATATTTAGACCAAGCTTTATATATAGCAATAAAAAATTAGAAATATTACAGACAATTTTGAAGGCAGCTGGGGCAAACTTAAAGAATTAATATGACTCTTGAAATTCAAAACACTTGAACATACTATTTCTATGTCTGAGTTTTTTAAAGCATTAATAAAGTATCACAACCCTTTTTATAAAGAGAATTTAAACTTTTTTTTACTTAATGTCACTGAAGACCAGTCATAGGAGAAGTGGGACTTGGATGTTCTAAGGAAATATTTTAACATTATTTGTATATATTAACAACTTGCAGTTTTTTCATGGAGATTCTGTTATTTGGTTGCAATTAGCATTTCCGGGATAATAACAGGCGTTATGTAGGAGGGAGGAAACTTACTGTAAAAACAGCAAAGTAGGTTTTATGTACCTGTGATCTCTGGGAGAAAGGTAAGTAATTGAATTGATGTTTGAAATATGCCAGATCATTATTCTTTGTACTAGAATCTATTATTAATAAGTATTTATCTTTGCTTTCACTCTTGTTTTTTCTCTCTCTCTCTTTGTCTTTCTCTGTTTCTCTCTCTCGCTTTCTTTCTCTCTTTCTTTCTTTTCTGTAGTACCACTGGGCTTGTACCATGTTCAGCAACACCAACAACTTTTGGGGACCTCAGAGCAGCCAATGGCCAAGGGCAGCAACGACGCCGAATTACATCTGTCCAGCCGCCTACAGGCCTCCAGGAATGGCTGAAAATGTTTCAGGTGACATATCGAAACATAGTACTTGAAATGTTTCACTTACTTGCTAGAAAAAGCAAGGGATTATTTAGCTGTAAAAAAAGAAGAAGCACTTTTACATACTATACTGTGGATGAACCTTGAAATCATTCTGCCAAGTGAAAGAAGCCAGACACAAAAGCCTACATGTTGATTCTCTTTATATAAAATATCCAGAATAGGCAAATCCATAGGGACAGAAAGTAGATTAATGGTTGGAGGAGGAGAGGACTAACTGCGAATAGGTACAGGTTTTCCTTTTGGGGTGATAGAAGTGTTCTGGAATTGGTTAATGGTGATGGTTGCACAGCAATATGAATATAATGGGAAGCACTAAAGTGTACACTTTAAAATAGTGAATATTGTGTATATTTCCATTTTAAAATGCTATTAAAAACAAGGGAACTCATTTGAATTTTTGAGTCTCATAATTGAGAAAGTCCAATACTTATTTGTGTAACTGTGCACTGACATTTTTCAAAAATTACTTTTAAAATAATAAGACTTTTCTTCCTCTTCTCCTTTATGTTTGAGTTTCTGGGTTGTCTCGTTTTCTAAACTGCACTGTTTGTAAGTTAGGCATTTAAGAGTAATTTAAGAACCATACTAGCTATAATTAATAAAGATTGTTTTCTTCGGTGCCATGCTCATATATGGCTTACTGCGCTTGAATTCTGATTACTATATTTTAATAGTGTTTATATTATTTGAACATTTACAGGGAAGAGTGGTTACAACCAAACCTTGAGTATTATGAATTTTCTAACCTAAGATAGTAATATTACATTGACTTATCTCTTTTTCCAGTAAGATAGTACATATAATTCAAGAGTTAAGCAAAACAGTTGGCAAGAATTAAGCACTCACTCAATTATTTGTTGCAAATAATAAATAATATAAATTATTTAAAGCAAAGATATCTGATATTAGCCTCCATACTTATGGAAAATGAGTATACTACCCTACCGCTGGCTGCATGAATGGTTAGGTATTTAATGAATGCATAAGGGAATAAAGATGATACTTTATTTGACGTTTAGTGTTTCAGATTTTTAAGGTGTTCCCTTTATAAATCCTAATATTTTAAATGCCTAGATGAATGTGAGATAAATGTGCCTATTTTTTCTTCTGTAGATAGAAAACTAACTTGGAACAGTATTACTTTTAAGTAGATTTTAAAAATGGTTTTCTACATTTCAGGTGATTTCCAAAAAAATAGGAAAACCTTTTTTTGGTCAGTAACTGAAAGATTTGAGCCTTGCTCTCAACAGGGATTAGTTTTTCCACTGAAGGAGACAAAAGCGTCTCAAGACATTTTTCGTTTTTATAACTGAAGGGATGGGGGTGGGCAGGACGCTGCTGGCATCTAGTGAGTAGAAGTACTGTAAAGGTCAATCTCCATGCCAAAGAATTATACAGCCCAAAATGTCAGTGGTACTAAAGAATCTCTAGGTTAGAGGAGTGAAAGTTATATTTTATTGTTATTAAAATGTTATGAGCCACTGCAGTTACAAAGAATTTTTTTTTAAGTTTTCATAAACATTTGTTGGTTAAACTTACCTTTTCCCCAAGGATTATTCCTACCCCTCCACCTGAGTTATTTTGCCTCTGGTTCATGATGGCTTTTAAAAATGTAAAATGTTAATTAATGTTTATGTTTTCCTATGCAGGCCCTCAGAATTCTAAATTTTTAATTTTGTCCCATCTTAAAAAAAAAAAATTATCCATCAATAAGAGGTGAAAATAAAACTTGAACACTTATATAGCCTTAAAAAATACTTTAAAGATTTTTATCATCTCTGATTAAGCCAAAGAGATGGGAATATGGGTATGTGTTGCCATGCTGACACATGCGTATAGTGTGAACAACACAGTACTCAAGAGTAGCGTAGAGCTGATTTCATATCATTTTTATAAGAAAATACCAACATGATTGAAAATTACAGTTAGCAATAGTTTTATCATCATAGATACCCTCCAAAATGCTTATTTTATATGAAAAGGCTTATTTCTTATCAGAAGGTAGTTCAGAATAAGATTTATTTTTTTCTGTGGTAGGGCTCATTTTTTCCAGTGTTTTGGAATACCTGAATATTCTTTGCTTGCTATCTAGGGTATTTCTCAATTTTAAGGGGACTCTCTAATATTGAGCTATAGGAAGAGGCATTTTGGCTTTATTTAGTCAGGATATTTTAGAGAGTCCATTGTACAACGTTTGCTTGTTTAGCTAGCTCATGCTTTTTAAATAAAATGTCCAAATGTTACTACATACTGCATTTCATCAAATCTGAGACACCATAGATTTTCTTTAGATGGATTCCAATTTCAGAGATGTTAATGTTACCAAAAAAAAAAAAAGCTTTATTCAATAAGCTAAATAATGTTAGACTAGCTTAACTGTAGGTACAGTGAAGAAAACTTGTTCTTAGTTAACAGGAATAGCATGTGGAATTACCCTGCAGGTATAGTACTGTAAGTTTTTTGGTTTTTGTTTTTTTTTTTTCCAGATAAATATTCTTTAGCAAAGAAATCTGTAGCAACAAAAGGTCAACTAGACAGGCAGATCAGGACCATCATCTTTTGAGTACCATATCTGTCTCTGACACACCCAAGGCCTCATCGTTGTACCTTGCCCTGTATTTTCAGGGCTGGTACCAGAGTAACTAGAAATGATTCACTTGCCTAAAGGCTTACAGTGCTTTAATGTCTAACTTGTAGAGAGATATAATTTCATAATAAAGTGGGGAAATCATGAGTTGACCTATGTGAGATAGTTGAGGGATAATTAAACTGGCATGATTTCTACAAATATGCTGTGGGGGCATTTCATGATGACTTTTCTGTTGCATAATAAACAGTATGGGAGGGCTTATTCCCTTACTGTTCTGCTCCAGCTCCATCTATTTTGACAAAGCACTTTGTACTCTGTTTATAAATTGAGTATGAACAAATGATATTACATTTTGCATAAAAGAAGACTGAAACAGAATGCCACTGGAAAATAGAAGTGCAAATTAAAGACAGAAACCAGAAAATAGAAATTTTGCATCATTTAAATTTTCAGTAGCCATTGATCCACTTTGTTTGGCAGTCAGATTGATGCTTCAGGTTGTTTATTTAGGGAAGCAGGTGGGTCATTTTTTTGGTTTGTTTATATCATTTGGGTGCTAATAAATGGTTTCCCACTTGAAATTTTCAGTAGGTAAAGACATTAATTACATAAACATTATTTTATACAGAAATTTATATTCAGAAGCATCTTGAGATTAGCACAAATGACTTAGAAGGATAAGCTCTTAGTTCAAAATTTAACATTGCCTCTTAAAAACAATTTCATTAATATTATATAACCATTCTTGCCTTTATTTTCACTCTATAAAACACTTAACATTAAAAAGCTGTCAAAGGGGAGAAAACATGGACATGTGCTTAAAATACTTGGAAATATATTGGATACTCAATAAATGCTAGTTTCTTCTCTTGATTAGGAAATAATCTTAGTGGACCTCAGAAATTTTCTGAGATCCAAAAAGGGACTGTTAACACTAGCTTCACAATATTGCTATGAGAATCAAAGATACAGTGATATGGAAGAACTTTAACCATATACAGAACTTCTACCTAATTAAATAAATAATTACATTATTTTAATTAAAGCATATTTGAATTAAGCTATTTGTGTACTTTGAAAATATCTGTTGCATTCAAAATATTTTAAAATGGTAAGTAAAAAATTCATGTGTTTTGATATTAAAAATCGAAAAACTTCTCCATTGAAAGATTTAATTAGGTTTCATAGGAACACTTAGAAATTGTACGTGTTCTCAAACCTACTTTTATTTACATGTATTCACTAGTCAACAAAAGATTAAAACCCACAGGATATTGCCAAAAATTGAATCTGTTATTACTTTGAAATTGTATTTGGGACACAGTGATTAGGAAACCTTGTTTTGTGTGAAGGACTTGAAGAAAGCCATGTATTTAGCTAGAGAAGACTAAGGGAAAATGTTATGTCTGTTTTTAATATTTTAAAGACTTTTGTGTAAAAGTAGAAAAAAGACACATTCTTGGTTTCTTCAGAAAGTAGAACCTGAATCACGTTCTTTGAGTCAGATTTTGGCATTAAGTTAAACCTAACAATTAAAACTGGCCCACAGTAGAATGGGAGATAATGAGTTACATGAATCCTGGAACTGTTCAAGCAGACTGGATAACTATGTGCTAGAGGTGCCGGAGAAGTGATTTCTTTACAACATGAAATTCAGGTGCAGTTCTATCCAAGGTCATAAAACAGTGTGTCTGATTGGGACACTAAAGATCATTGAGACCAGTGGTTCCCAAATGCTGCTTTGTGAATCATCTATGTCAACACTGGATGAGTTGCTTGTTTACCGAGGCGGGTGGATCACGAGGTCAAGAGATCGAGACCATCCTGGTCAACATGGTGAAACCCCGTCTCTACTAAAAATACAAAAAATCAGGTGGGCATGGTGGCGCATGCCTGTAATCCCAGCTACTCAGGAGGCTGAGGCAGGAGAATTGCCTGAACTCAGGACGGAGGTTGCGGTGAGCCGAGATTGTGCCATTGCACTCCAGCCTGGGTAACAAGAGTGAAACTCTGTCTCAAAAAAAAAATAATAAAAAAAAAAATAAAAATAAATGAAAAATAAAAATAAAATGCCTTCAGCCACTGAATCAGACTTTCTGCTCGTGGGTTTTAGAGCTCAGTAATTATTGCTTTCCTTGATCCACTGGCCTGGACTAAGCCTCTCACTGTGTAGGTGGGTTCTCTGAGACTCAGACTCGTTAAGAGACTTCCATGTGGTTCTACAGTGAGTTTCTTGGTGAAACCAAGGCTCTTGATTGCAGTTTAGTGTTCCTTCTATTCTTCTCTACTAAACCTCTGTGCTTTCATTTACCTGAAATAAAACACCACTTCCATGGGGAATTTTCAGATTTGCATTTGCAATTTTGTCCGTAAATTAAAATTTGCTTCTGAACTTGGAATACTTTTCCTGTCCCCTTCAATATGTTCCAACATGACTACCATGAAAGGCCAAAGGAAGTACTTTCTTTTTCTCTTTTCCGGGACAACCACTTTTCAAATAGCAGTAAAACAATAATTATAAGAATTATTCAATACTTTGCTTTTGCAGATAAAGAAACTAAGGCCTGAAGAGGTCAAATTGTAAGCTAATTATAGTGACAATATCTCCTAAAATTATATCCTAACCCCCAATTCAGTTCTCTCTCAACTATTCTTCGTAAATGGTTGTTGTAGGTTGTTATTTTATATATATATATATATATATATATATATATATATATATATATATATATATATGTGTGTGTGTTCATTAGCTGCAAGATTTTCATGTTAATGTATATGTCCCTTCTGCTAAATTGTATAAGACAAAATTTGAAACCGCTCTTGGAACCAAACTAATCAAGCAAGTCCCAGTGATACCATCAAATATAAAGAATAGAAATACTCTCTACAGGTAGCCTTGAGATGATAGCATTTAGAGATAGTATTTCTTGATTCTTTTGGGATTCATTTATTTATCCGATAAATATTTACTAAGCACCTTTTATGTGCTAGGCCCTACTTGGGTCTGGTATGCAATAGTGAATAAAACAGACAAAAACCTCTTTTTCATGAAGCCTACATTCTAGTCTCAAGGGGATGAGATGGATGGGTTTGGAACTGGTTGCAATTTTAGAAAGGTTGCTCAGGGAAGGAAGTAAGGAAGCAAGGCATGTGGGTATCTAGGGAAACAATGTTCCAAGGAACAGCAAGGAAAGATGTTGTGAAGCTGAGTGTGCCTGGAGTGTTTACAGCACAGAAAGAGTGTGTATGGCAGAGCAGAGTAAATAAGAGGAAAAGTAATGGGAAATTAGTATAGGCCAGCATAAGGACTAATTTCTACTTTGAGTGAAGTGGAAAGCCATTAGAAGGCTTTAAGAAGGTTGAAGATTTTCTAACAGTAGCATGAGTGCAGTGTGGAGAATAGAATGAGGAGTCAAACGTAGAAAGCTGGAAGACCACTTAGGGAGGTAGAAGAATAATCTAGTTGAGACATACTGGTAGCTCTGTCCAGTGTAGTAATAGATTGTGGATATATTTTAAAGTTTAAGGCTATGAGTTCATTTGAATCAAAACCATCTGATGGTGAAAGAGAGATAGGAGACAGGAATGACCAAAGACTTCTTGGCTTGAGTAACTAGTAAAATAAAGTTGATTTTACTGAAATGAGCAAGACAATAGAAGTACAGATTTGGAGAGAAAGATCATGGACATGTTAAGTTTCAATTACATTTCTAAGAACAGATGTTGAAAAAGCAACAACATGTACAGGTCTGGAGTTCAGGGAAGAATTCCAGGCTGGACAGAGGAAAGCTGTTTTTATGGTTCAGATCGTTATTTAGAATCACCAAAAAGATGTGATTTTAAACAACAGGACTGTTGAATATGTGTGATCAGTGGAAACAGTCTGATTTTCTTATGCTACTCATCTTTGTCAGTGCTATACTTTTTAATAAAATATCACAAAGTAACATCTACTGACTGTATGTATAATTTAAATTGAGACGTTTTAAATTGTATTTGATTCCTATTAAATCAAAGATTCTTTAAAACAAAATAAAAATATATTGTTTAGAGTCTTAGAAATATTTTGTTAAACAGGCATAATTTTTTTCCATGTACTTTTTCTTAAATATGTAGAAATTTTTGACACAGTTTCAAATACTTAGCTAAGATCTGAATTAGTTATTTATCATCTGTCCTGTCTTCTTTAATTCTACACCCTATCCTCCAAAAACCTTGATAAAAGATATTTCATATATTAGCTGCCTTTTTTTTTTTTTGAGACAAAGTCCCACTCTGTGGAGTACAGTGACATGATCATAGCTCATTGCAGACTTGACCTCCTGCCACAGCTCCCTGAGTAGCTGGGACTACAGGCACACTCCACCATGCCTGGCTAATTTTTAATTTTTTTGTAGAGATGGGGTTCATTATGTTGCCAGGCTCGTCTCGAACCCCTGAGCTCAAGTGTTTCTCCTTCCTCGGCCTCCCAAAACTGCTGGGATTACAGGCGTGAGCCAATGCATCTGGCCTAAAGCTACATTTTAATCAAGTTAACATAGTTATCAGTCACTCAAAATGAGCAAGTCCTTATACTAGTGTCCATGCATCGTCTATAATGTAGATGGAAAGGAATAGCATATCATCAAAACAAGTTAATGAGTTTGTTCTATGATACCAGTTAGAGAGAGATGAGTAGAGGTTGATCACTGTAAGTTATGTCAAAGAGGTAAATTTTAAACCAGTATTTGAAGTTATGTGAGAAAAACCAAACAAGATTATTGAACTTCAAATTAACTGCTTTTAATTGGTCACATGTGTACATATACATGTTTGTGAATATTTTACATTTCTATGCATAATATATCCTCCCCCTGACCATAAAAGGTACAAGGTAAGGCTCAAGGTAAATGTTCTAGGTGCATGTATCTGTAGAAGCAAAAGGAAGGGACACAACTGGTTGGAGCCTGTATTTCCTTAACATTAGGTGATAAAATGGAATACATTATGGAAATAAATACTATTGAAATGTTTTCTCGTATTGCCAATTTAATACATACTTTATCATAAGAAAGAAGAGATGAAGTTTATTGTAGATTCCACAGGGGTAAATTCTTTTAAAAGTATTCCAAATATGGCTCCTGATATCCTTAATATATTTGTTTTCAATTATTATATCTTTCACATCTTGGATCAAGTTTTCTTGTTTGGACAAGAAATGGAATGGCAAAATGGAATGGAGATCTTTTTAACTGAAAGCCTCACCTATTCTCTATTCACCCACTTGTAAAGTAGTCACAATAATTCTTACAATGATACTTAAATAAGTGGATTTGCAGAAATGAAGGCCTGCTTAAGAATGTTCTTTCATTTAAGTTTTATGAGGTTATTTAAATGTGTAAAATTGTAACATTTGAATTATTCACATGGCATTTTAGTTTTTCCTTTTAAGAACCATAGCTTTTCTGTGCAGGTGTTCTTCACTGAGGGGAAAATAATAAAATTTTAAGATAATCTGATGTCATTTAAAGAAACTCTTATTTCTGAAGCATAATTGTGTGTTTTTGTGTTTTTATAGTGTATCACTTTCTCTCTTACCCTCTTTTGGCCTTTGTTTATATTCTAACTTTACCACTGTCGGCTACTATTTTCTATTGTTGATTGTTTTTTATCTGAAATTATTTTCCCATAACAAATCAAAGCCTGTTTAATTTGTGGAAGATACTTGTCAAATGTGTAATATAACCAGTTACTAATTTTTCTCTAAATGGTGCTGCTGCTCTTTTTTCAGATGAGTGCCTTAATAAAACCATCTAATTTTATGATGTCCACTAGAAAGAATGTAGAGAAAGGAAAATTGTCAAAATTTTCTATTATTTACTCAGTAACCGAAAATGATGTTTCTCGAATAAAATTTTGGCTTCTCAATTAGTGTCTTGGTGGTAGATAAACATATAACTATTATAATAATTTAATGAAAAAAATTTCTCTGTCAAACATGACTTTTTTTTAAAGCTTTTACAAAATTAAAGTGGTTGGTAAGCAATAAAATTAAATGCCTTCCTCGATATCTTGTGGAAAAAATGTCAGTATAAGGAGCCAGTTTTTATACAATTCTACCTTGTTCATCTGTGGTTGTGTATAGGTTTGAGTTTTCCTTTATAAGCCTATAATTTGGGACATCTGTTAAAATAATAAAAATTTCTCCTTCTCTTTGATAGAGCTGGAGTGGACCAGAGAAATTGCTTGCGTTAGATGAACTCATTGATAGTTGTGAACCAACACAAGTAAAACATATGATGCAAGTGATAGAACCCCAGTTTCAGCGAGACTTCATTTCATTGCTCCCTAAAGAGGTAAGGATTATCAATTACATTCTTCATTGGGTGTTATTTGAATATATAACTCAATGGCTACCACCTTTAAACATTGTCATGCTAATTATGGTATTCAGTATTGTCAGTTTGACACTCTTAATTAGTGGTAAAGTGGGCTGTATATTGATAAATTGCCGTGACTTAATAATGTAATTGTCAGATTAAAGTATGCATGTGGACTAAGTAACTCCTTTCCACTACTTGAATAAGTCATATATGAGAGTAACTATTGAGTCTCACTAATTTAATTATTTCTTTATCAGGATTTTTTTTGCCAGGTTATTTGAAGCCCAGCGTTTAGTTGTCTTGGTATATTAATTACAGTATATATTTTTTTAATTTTGACTTTATTAAAATGGCAATACTTTTTCTCTTATTTTATTGTGTATCTTAAGTAAGTCCCTTCAAGACCAATAGTTTTATGATTCTATTGAATTACAGTTCTCTTGAACTTACATTGTATAATTATTTTAAATACGAATATTATAATTTCGCGTGTATATATTTATCTACTAATCATTCTCCTCCCCATCTCCATTACACATATAGATTTTCCATACTAATTACATGCTAACAGCACTTCTTTGGGAATTATTTGTCTATTTCTTTTTATTTTTATGTAAGCTGAAACTATCATAGACTGATTATATGGGCATTCATAACTATAAATAAGGCATTACTGATATTATAGACTTAGTAATTTTATTTTGTCAGCAAGCAGAAATAATATAACATTAAATAATCAGCATCCCCATGCTAATTATTTATATTTTCATAAGTAATTTTATGAATTTATATTTTCATAAGTAATATGCATATTTATATTTTCGTAAGTAATATGTATATGCCACTAGTTATATGTCAGCTAAGAAGACAATATAAAATACCAATATACTATTTCAAATGATCCTGAAACTTCAAATTTGAACAGAAAAGGAGTCATTTTTTAAGATTATCATTCTAAATATCCTAATAATGATAAAGATAATGCCAGTTAGAATTTCACATTGGATGCAAATAAAATAGTTGTATCATATTTAATGCATAGAACTAGACATAACTCTATAACTCTAGAGAAAAGCAAAGTGGAGAAAATCTCTTCTTCCTGAAATGTTTTCTACTGAGTGCTTTTTAAAAATGATGTTGGCCCAGAAGAAAATTTTTATTTTTGCTAGCTCATTTTAAAACTGAATTCTTTGAATAGATTTGGCTTATGAAAGTGACATCAGCTCTCTTTGCTTCCAGAAGGGCATTAATAATGGGACACACATAAATATAAACACATAAAAACACTGAAAGTGATTTTATTCACCTTTGATATATTCTCTATAGTTTCCTTAGTGATATCCTCCTTGTTTTAGAGGGTATCATTTTTGTTAAAATGCAGGCCTTCTCATAGTCGTATTTATTCTCTATTTCTAATAATGGTGAGGTTTTTGGTTTGTTTTGCTTTATTTGAATTTCCATAGTAACTTAACACACAAAAATGTGGTTTAAGATTAGAATATGAAAGTATTTTCAAAAATCTAAGAACTAATAACAAATAGTCAATAACCAGGGTAAATCCAATAAAGATTCTCTTGGTTTAAGTGTGCTTTTAAAGACTGCCTGGGGAAAAAGAAGTGAAATTAGTTAGGTAGGAGACTACGGGAGAGCCTTGATTTAGCATATCATCAATGTTTCCCTCTTGTTTTCAAGTACCAGGAAAAGAAGTTTCCTATTTTGAAAAATGTTTTATTGTCCATGTGGATAAATAACGGTATAGGTCAAAGTTTTTAAGAAAATTAACATTATACTTTTGGAAACAAAGTATTATTATTTAAAACATTATTACCTTCTTGTCAGGAAATGGACTTATTTTTCTTATAATTCCTTTGGACAGATCTCAAAACTCTTTAGAAACATTTACTTATTAATCTCAAAAAGCTTGACAAAAATCTCACTAATTTCGTATGGGAGGCTTGTGATGAATAGCAATGTCTTTGTAAATGAATACCAAGAAAATCATAATCATATAGTAGATGATGTAGAATAAAACCTGAAATTCTTAATATAGGATTATTATTTTTTCCTTGACTAGTTTAATCTACTGAAATATAGCAAGTCTGGGAAAATTTTGGCTACCTTTTAAGTACAATGTGGTTGTCTTTTATATAGGTTATAGAGAAAAATAAAAAATAGCAATTCTTACAGAGTTGGACAAGGAAAAGGTAATTATCTGAAACAGGTTTCAGTTCAAGAGCTTTTCTCTGGCAGAAGTGGTCTTTAGGAAGAAATACTAATCTGGGTTTTGCATTTAAAACAAATGAATAGGAAACTGCATTAGCTGGACCAGATGACTTGGCTGCAAGAAGCCCATGACTCCCTACCAAAGTGGTTGGAGAGACAGAGTCTCTGTTTCCCAGGCTGTGTGCAGTGGCATGATCACAGCTCACTGCAGCCTCAAACAGTTCTCTTGAGCAGCTAGGACTATAGGCATGTGCCACCACACTTGGCTAATTTTCTGGGAGGTTGGGGTGGCGGGGTGATGCCCCTTTTATGAGAGTAGTAATCCCATTCATGAGGGCTCCAATCTCATGACCTGATTATTTTCCAGACATCTTGCTTGCTAATGACATCACATTGGGGGTTAGGATTTCAACATGAATTTGAGGTAATATAGACATTCAGTCCATTTCAGAGCCCTACATGACACAACTTTTCTTCCTTTGAGGGAACTGGTATACTTCCTCATAATATGTAGTAAGAATCATGCAACTAATTGCTATTCTCTTTTTGGCTTGGCAGTTTAATTCAAAACCTTGTAAGACATAATCTTGTTGAAAGCATATTTGTGCTCTACTTCTTTAGTTTAAACCTTCTTTCTGATTTTTTAATTCATATTTTCATTTTGCCTTGTGTATTTTCTGTATTGCTTTGATGTTTTGATGGAACTGGCTAGATTATGACATGTATATAATAAGTTGAAGTTCTTGGTTGAGTTAGGATCTTCACTGCTTTAAAGGAAAGTATGCCAGTAACCTATAAAGTTAGCACTTCAACTTTCTTTAGTGCCTTAGGATTTATTTATATTTCTCCTTAATGCACTGGACTAGATGGTTTCTTAATCACTGTTAATGCTGGAAATTTTACCTGTTGATTTGGGGATGTACTTTTGAAATCTAAGCTGTTCTGGAATTGTTGTTTCCTAGCTGTTAAAATCCATTGACTATTTCTGTAAATTATCTGATTTCTAGTTAAGTCACATAACTAAAGCAAAGAAAAGAATAGACTTTTTCTGTTTTTAGATGAGTATCTTGGTCATTAATTAGCACCTCTTTTGCACAAATATTTTTGTGTCTGGTAATTTCTATGTTAAATTACAATTCTACATAGATTAGTAATGGTAACATCACATTACTGACACAAAGTGAACTTGCCTAGGCTTTGATCGATTGGTAATTCCCAAATTAAGTGGCTTTTGGAGTATCCATTAAGTATAATCTTGATATTATATTATGTGTGAGTATTGTTGAATGTAGTTACACCTTTTTATTTTAAATGACTCAACTTCTGTACGTAATACTGGTGTTCTCTGATATACCAAAAGTAATTATTTCACAAAAAAAGTTTTTTCACTATCATTCATCAGTAGTAGTATTAAACTGAATACTGGCTGGTTGGAGTATTTTGTATATTGAATATACTCAGTAAATATGTAATTAATGATGAGTTGTTGTTGTTGTTGTTTTTGAGACCGAGTCTTGCTCTGTCACCCAGGCTACAGTATACTGGTACGAGCTTGCCTCATTGCAGCCTCCACCTGCTGGGTTCAAGTGATTCTTATACCTCAGCCTCCCAAGTAGCTTGGATTATAAGCATGCACCACTACACCTGGTTAATTTCTGTATTTTTAGTAAAGATGGAGTTTCACCATGTTAGCCAGGCTGATCTCAAACTCCTTGCCTCAAGTGATCCTCCCACCTCAGCCTCCCAAAGTTGCTGGTATTAACAGCAGTGAGCCACTGTACCCACCCAATGATGAATTCCTTATATATACAAAGTCATTGGGAAAGCATATAATTTATGTTATATAATTTCTATTTAGCATCAAAAAATAATTAAAATTGTGCTTTTACTCCCTATATGATCCTTGACCCTTTAACGGATAATTTTAGTTCTTGTCATTCAGTTCATATGAAAACTGAACTTAATTGCTGTATTTAAGTTATTTTCCCTAAAATAATAATTTAAAATTTTATGTGATAAGTGAGGCTACTTGAATACTTGTAGTCAGAGGCTATAATTCCCCTTCTCTTTTTTTCCTCTTTATTTTTCCTTTATCTTTGTTTATTTATAAACTGACATACTGAAAGAAAATGATGGTTTGTAAGTATTATGAATGAAATTTTAAAATTGGTAGTATACCTAAGAGTTAGCTCAAATATACAACTCTATGTGGCCCATCAAGAAGATCCTTATAAGTAATGTAAAGTAATTAGAACTCAATTACTTTTATATGTCTATGCAATAGTTTAATAATTGTCCCCCTTTGTCATTTACACTCACGGATATAAGTATTTCTCAAAGTTCATTATGATAAACACTTTGATGTGAAGACTGTTAATTATGATATATATCTATCAGAAATGATCTGAAGTCATACCACACAGAATATATAAAAATCTCATTTCTTATCTGTCAGGCAAGCATTTAGGTCCTGTCTTCAGTTAAATTACATTGTAGTGGGAGAGAGAACAAAGTTAAACAACTAATAACATTTTTTAAAAAAAGCATTATTGAGTTGAGTCTCACAGAGCAAAGGCATAAGCAGAGACAGAGAGGTTTAATAAGTAGTCCTTGAAGAGGTAAAGAGTTAGTAGAATGAAGTTCATAAAAACCAATAAGGTATGTATATGTTTTTTATCTGGTATATATTTGTTAGGACTGAAGTTACTGCCTTTCATAATTTTAGAAATCAGAGAATTATATTTATCAAGTATTTCATCCTGTGGAGAATAATTAACTTATTATATAATCCATATATTTATTTAAATGTGGGTATTACACTATGCATTTTTCTTTTTCATAGTTGGCACTTTATGTGCTTTCATTCCTGGAACCCAAAGACCTGCTGCAAGCGGCTCAGACGTGTCGCTACTGGAGAATTTTGGCTGAAGACAACCTTCTCTGGAGAGAAAAATGCAAAGAAGAGGGTAAGGTTCAAAACTGCATAGAGACTATGTTTATACTTTGAAAAGTCAGAGTGATTCTGAAAAAAAGTAGAAAAAAAAAAAAAGAATAGTCACCTACTTATAGTAAAATCTACACGTTATTCTACACATTCAGATGAGCCAAATCTTGCAGCTGACCTGTTTAACAAACAATATAACTAATAGCAAATGTATCTAATTTGCTTCCTGTCACTAGTAGAATTAATAAACAATGAAAGTCAAGTTGAGGATGATTTAAAGGAAACCCCCAAATTATATTACCAATTAAATATTCAAATATTTAGTATTAGTTCATTCCTTACATATTTATTGAACACCTCCTATGAGCTAGACATTTCTTAAAGGTTGGGGGATATAGCAGTGAACTGAAGTTCTCTTTCTGTCATGGAGCTTATGTTCTTGAAACCTGTTTTTTTCCTTAGTAGAGGAGTAGTTATCTTCTGTATTGGGAGGATTTTTTTTTTTTTCTCCCAGCAGGCATCCAGAAAAATAGTATTTTTGAAAAAATACAAAACTATTATGTGCCTCAGAAGCAAAATTTTTGAGAAAGAATCATAGATCATGATGCAGGTACTCTATAGGTGATCCTTCCTTTCATGGTGGTTATAGTCAAGTGGGGAGCATTGATGGTTAGTCCAGTTAATAAAGGTTAGAGGTAAAGATCCAGGGGTTTCTCATCCTCATCCTGCTTTTGCCCTCTGTGGGGCTTAGGTTAATCAGTGAAATCTTCCTTCTTAAGTATCTGTATACATAAAGTGGGATTAATCTCTGCCTTCCCTTCTCCCATACCAAATCATTTTTTAAAATATTTTTAAAATTGTGATAACATGTATGTATTATATCAATTTAACCATTTTAAAATGTACAGTTCAGTGGTATTAAGTACATTCACATTGTTTTGTAACTATCACTACCATCTATCTTTACAACTTCATCTTCCTCAAGTGAAACTCCATGCCCACTGTTAGAACTCCCCATTATTCCTTTCCACAGTCTCGGGCAACCACCCTTTTACTTCCTACCTCTATGAGTTTGACTGCTCTAGGTACCTCATATAAGTGAAATCATACAATATTTGTCCTTTTGCAATCAGCCTATTTCACTTGGCATAATGTCTTCAAGGTTCATCCATGTCATAGCATGTGTCAGAATTTCCGCTATTCTGTTGTGTGCATGTATCTAATGCTATCCATCTGTCAATGGACCCTTGGATTGCCTGTACCTTTTAGCTATTGTGAATAATTCTGCTCTGAGAATAGGTGTACAGATAACTGCCTTGAGGCTCTGCTTTTCATTCTTTTGGTTACGTATCCAGAAGTAGAATTGCTAGATCATATGTTAATTCTGTGTTTGTTTTGGGGAACCAACAGACTATTTTCCACAGTAGCTGCACCATTTGCACAAGCATTCTAGTTTCCTCACATCTTCGTCAGCATCTTTTAGAATCATTTTGAGAAAGAAATGAAATAATACAAAAATATGCCATATAGAATGCAAACTTTATTGTTACATACTGTGATAACAGTATTAGAAATTGGACAGTGTCTTGCATTTCAGTGGTTTTGAACAGAAAGGAAGATGGAATACTTTATAAAATGTATAATTTTTATTATTGGTGAAGGCAATTTACGTTTGAACTGTAACACTTTAGGGATTGATGAACCGTTGCACATCAAGAGAAGAAAAGTAATAAAACCAGGTTTCATACACAGTCCATGGAAAAGTGCATACATCAGACAGCACAGAATTGATACTAACTGGAGGCGAGGAGAACTCAAATCTCCTAAGGTAACTGAACTCTGCACAATGTAACAGAAACCATGAATCACTGTTAGTACCTAGTGTACTATTTCACTTCTTGGCAAACTGTATAATTTGACACCTCTCTTCTGTGGAAGGAAAACCATGTATTTTAAAATAACTGAAAATATTATTGACAATATTCTTTTATTGCTAATTTCTCTAATCTGACAGCTAATCATACTTGAATAAAAGATAAGTTAAATTGGTTATCTTTGTATCTTACATAAATGAAAATCTCTCCATATCCTGTTGAATTTTACTGTGTCATACACATTCTACCTAAGAATTTGCTGCCCACTCTGACCACATAGTCCAAACATGATTTTTTTTTTCTTTTTTTCTTTTCTTCTTTTTTTTTTTTTTTTTTTTTTTTTTTTNTTTTTGAGACGGAGTTTCACGCTTGTTGCCCAGGCTGGAGTGCAATGGCACCATCTCAGCTCACTACAACCTCCGCCTCCCAGGTTCAAGCAATTCTCCTGCCTCAGCCTCCCGAGCAGCTGGGATTACAGGCATGCACCAACACTCCCGGTTAATTTTGTATTTTTAGTTAGAGACAGGGTTTCTTCAACCAAACATGATTTTTTGAGTAGTGTCCGTCCATGTTTTGGTTTTGGTGGATTTTCTGTGTTTTATAAATTGAAGCATAATTCTGGTTTTCTGTCTTACAACATTTCAAATATATAAAGAATGAGAAAAACACTTGAAATTATTGGGCATATTTTTACTACTGGAAAAAAACAATTTGGGGAGTCATTGTCATAGTTTTTTTTTTGTTCTGAGAAGGCTGATAATTGTTATTCTTATTGGTTAATAGACGCTTATTTTGTTCTTGTGTGTCAAAATTGTAAGAATTAGAGGCATATTCTATTGGTTTGAACCGATAAAATAGATTATTTTCAAATACCTTGGTGTTTGAACCAGCTTTAGGAGATCTTAATGCAGTAAAATTTTAATAGCTGATGTTTTGAATGTAAATAAGAGAATATGGAAACAATAAAATGTTTAATTCTGTATTTGTCAGCCAGGAAGAATAAAGCTTTATATTTTATATAAATTTTAATTCTAGAGATAGACTACAAATTACTGTTCCTGTTTATGCCTTCATTTTTCTCTTCAACAGTATTTTAAAGAACATAATTTAATTAACATATTTCTGATCTGTGCATCCATCTTACAGGTGCTGAAAGGACATGATGATCATGTGATCACATGCTTACAGTTTTGTGGTAACCGAATAGTTAGTGGTTCTGATGACAACACTTTAAAAGTTTGGTCAGCAGTCACGGGCAAAGTAAGTTTACTCTTCCTACACTTCACAAAGTCATCACTTTGTGCCTGTCATTGCAGGTAGCAACTGGAAAAAAGAAAGCAGTAATTCATTTTTGATTCTCAATTATTTGGATAGCAAATATCAGAGCTTATAACTTAGCTTTTTCCCCCATATTTATGAAAGTCACTGGCATGAGGATAATTATGTTTCTCATGATAGAAGTTTCATTATTTTTTTTTCATTTACATAGTTTATCTTTGTGACAGACACTTTAACATTTTCAAGGGTGCTTTATATTTTTCTTGGCTCAATTTTTTCCTACTTTTATTTACTACCTAAGTTATACCTCATTACTTTGTAATGTTTTTCAAAAGTATGATTGAGGGATATTATTTTTCCTTATAAATTGCTTTGTTGATAACCTTCCTATAGTTTAGAACTTAATATATCATGTTAATTTTGACTTATCTTAAACCTTTGTGAGATGAGAGAGGACTACGCATTTAAATGTTAAGTTTGAAGAAAAACGTAGCCCAAGCAGTCAGCTTGACTGTGTAACATGTTACACCTTAATGATTCTCCAGTGAATATTCCTATCTGTCCAGTAGAGAATATTTTCATGAATTAAGTAATTGACCACCTAAAAAAATAACAGAAGAGAGTGTGGAAAAAAAAAAAAAAATCCATGTCTTTTAAAATGTCTTTTACCTTGTTGCTTCTTGGCAAGTATCTTATAAATATTCCAAGTCAGATGTTAAAAATTTTTTAAAGCAGCTTTATATTTCCGTAGTGTAATATTGGTTTGGGATTTATTTCAGGGTTTTAATGTCTGTCTTTACATGTCTAGAAGTAGCTTCACTGGCTCCTAACTACTACCTTGGGGCCGAATCAGATAAAATGTGGTATGTAGCCACACCCAACACTGTTGGCATACTTCCATTGAATCTACTGCCATGGAAGAAACTCAGTTGCAATTTCAGTATTATTTCATCAAAGAGGCCAGGCCAGAGCTATCATAATTGCTTTCATATCATGTTTCTTTTTTATTATATTATGTTTTATATCATAATGTTTGCTTTCTACATACTTGTTCTTCACTTGCTTGTGCTTATATAAATTTATAATGCTGTTGAATAAACAAAACAATAAATAGTAATGGGATCATTTTATATGGATGTGTAAAAAAATATTTTCTGACGAGCCAAACAAATTGAATAAATAACTTTACTCCAAATTTTAATGAGCTATTTTAATCGCTTTTCCTTTCTACCCAAAAGTAATCATCTTAAGTGTTTTCCCAGTGTCTGAGAACATTAGTGGGACATACAGGTGGAGTATGGTCATCACAAATGAGAGACAACATCATCATTAGTGGATCTACAGATCGGACTCTCAAAGTGTGGAATGCAGAGACTGGAGAATGTATACACACCTTATATGGGCATACTTCCACTGTGCGTTGTATGCATCTTCATGAAAAAAGGTAAGGGAAAATCTCATCGTGGCTGGGACTTCTTCCTCTGTTATTTGTGAATTTGGGCCCTTTCTGTGTAGAATTACTGAAATAGTGACAGTATGCTCTTGAATTAGACTTTATTAAACTTCAGAAGTTTCTATTCTAGGAAAGCCATAGTGTTGTGTCTTAAAATTGGGGATTGTCTGTAAGTTTCCTTTCTCATTTGCTAGTGTTTTCGGCTTCCTCTTTGAAACTCTAATCCTTTTTATTGTTCTGTGTCTTTGATGACTCATCATCTTCAAGCAGGTATCATTTTTTCTCTCTCTCTTTTTGATATTCTTATTTCTGCAAGTGGGACAAATTCAGGTTTCAAACATCTGAACCTTTCTTAATTACCTACCCACCTTACACCCACCCCATCATAGCCTCTAGCTCTAGGCAAATGCTGAGGCCTGTGGGTAATTTGTTCTCTCGTTCTGAACTATTATCACAGCTTTCTAACTTGGTCAACTTATGTTTTACACAGCTGACATACGGTCCTTTTATAATTATGATAGTCTCGCTGCCTGGTTCTTAAGTCTTTGTGAGCCTACTGTTGACTAATGAATTAAGGAAAAAATTCTCAATCCAGTTTTCAAATGGTTTCAGTCAGACTGGACTGCTTGACTTTTTCTTCTCAGCGCCTTTGCTGTTGCTTTTATCTCCTCCTGTAAAGCCCTCCTATTAAAATCATATCTTTTTATTATCTTCGTCATACCCCTGTTAAATGAGTATGATTTCTCCCTATTTGTCAAAAAGGTCTCTCTGAAAGGTCCTTACAGTGAATCTATGGCAGTCTTTACCTTTAATTCTGTCTATAGCATCTTCTTCATTAAGAATCATTACACTAAGCAGATTTTACACCAGATTTATAATATGTGAAAAAGAGTACCTTTTCAATTGTCATTTACATCTACTTTGAACAGTGTGCTATACTGTTAAAATTTGGGGGATGAGTATCAAGAGACCTTGCATTCCAGTTTCCATTATGTTCTGAGTTCAATCTCTCAACCCTTTAATTTTCTACTGTTTCAAATATGGAAACTGTGGTATGTCGTTATCTCTTAAGAATGACATAAAGACATATGAGTTTTCAGCTTTGTTTTGTAATCCAGAAATGATTGAAGTATTAGTATATTGCTCTAGTTTTCAGAAGAGCTAATGTTGAACCAAATGTTTAAAGAATAGCCATTGTTTTTAAAGGTATGCATATCTTTTAAAATCTGTACCTCTGAATATCCTTATAGACTATTGCATATTTATAAATGTAATCATTAGAAGCATAAGCAGCTTGTGTTTGAGGACATGTCTAAAACTGGTTAATTTCTACTAGAATATATACCGTAAACACAAATCTGTAGCTGTTTAAATTCCAAATTCTAACTTGTTTTGTCTTATAATCTTTATTGAATTTTTTACCTAATCACAAGGGAGTAAATGCATTCATAATAGAAATTTTGGAAAATGGCAAAGCACATAAAGAAGAGAATTTAAATTATTTAAACTATTGCCACCTGGAGTTCTCCCATTTACATTTTATACATATGCCCACATTATCATTTTATTTCTAAAATCAAGATCTTATTTTACATATTTAGAGGCAGCTGCTGCTGCTTTTTAAAAAAATACGGTACAGTGGCTTTCAAACTCTGTCCCACAGAATCTTCCATTATGGAACTAAGGCCCACAGGTCAGGGACAAGCATGCAGCATTCTAGGCTTCCCAACTTCCCATCCCATACTGTATGTTTATATACCAAGGTTTTATATAGGATTTCTTTTGATAACAGTTGTTCCTGTGTAAGAAGAAAAAGCTAAGAAACCCTGACTTCATCTATCATGTTTTCTCATATTAAAAATTCTAAATGTGTTTTTTTTTCTTCTGTTTTTTCCTCTGCAGAGTTGTTAGCGGTTCTCGAGATGCCACTCTTAGGGTTTGGGATATTGAAACAGGCCAGTGTTTACATGTTTTGATGGGTCATGTTGCAGCAGTCCGCTGTGTTCAATATGATGGCAGGAGGGTTGTTAGTGGAGCATATGATTTTATGGTAAAGGTGTGGGATCCAGAGACTGAAACCTGTCTACACACGTTGCAGGGGCATACTAATAGAGTCTATTCATTACAGGTAAGAGGTCTTTATCTCTCTCTTAGATGCTCTCCTGATGAATCATAAGGTTGTTTTACCCAGATAATAACTGTCAAATTGCTGATCCACTATAGTCCAAAAAAGATTAATCAGATTATTCTGCTGTTTATATACACTTTAAAATTGGCATGAAGAAAGTATAAATTTCAAAATTATTTAAATGCTTTCAACTTTCTGTGATCTATTTTCCCTGTGAAATACAAATATTTGTCTTGCATCCTGACACTTTGGGACTCTTAAGTTTTGCTATGTTAATTAATGGCTAAATAGTCTCATAGGAGAGTAACCTGGATTTTAAGAAACTCCTTTGCCAGAGGATTAATATGGCCAAAACTGCCCCTTTGCTTTGATAGCTAAAAGTTGACGGACCATGTAATTGTGATTCCATCCCCGTTCAGAGCGGAAATAGATCCTTTCTGCGTAAAGCATTCTACTATCCCGGGGCACTGATTTCTAGTCATAAAGAAGTAAAGTTGACTAAGCTGATTTTTTTTTTTTTTTTTTTTTGGTTTTCCTTTTTTTTTTTTTTTTTTTTTTTTTTTTTTGGTTTACATTCCAAGCCAGTATCCTTAAAAACATTGCCATATTTTGAGATCGTTAACTAGATAATAGAAGGTTTAGAATATGAATCTTGTTTTATTTCCAGGAAGACAACATTTTCAATTTTAAAATATTTTCTATAGTTTATATAGTTTATTTGCCAGTTGCTGCCCATTAATAGTGTTCAGTAAATTAGTACATAATCTTAGTACTAACAGTTCTGTTCTTAGGATATTTGTTTCTTTGTCAAAGGGATGTTGTCCATGTCATGAAATACTGGCAATATGATAAAGATGTTTGCTAAATTAGAAAAGGTGCTGAATTTGGTGGAAGGGGAATTGGCTGCAACTGTTTGTATATTTTGTGATATGCTCAGAAGCCTAATCAATATAATATTCTAATTTAAATAAACTATTTGGTTGAGAAAAGCGGTAGCCACATTATTATATAGAAATGATAGATTGTTATTGGCTTTTGGTGTAGCTGGGAAGCTGGAGAAGAGGTAGTTTGTAGTGTGCTTTTGATATCAAAATGCCACTTCTTCTGATTCCAGATATAATTATCTTTTGGCACATTTCCTAATTAGCATTAGGTTCTTATAAGTGAAATTTTATTTTACAGTTTTTAATGGAACTTACTTTTGAACATCACAAAAGTTATCTCTAGCCTTTTTCATGCCTTAGGTGCTAATAAGCACTCCATTTATCATAAGCTATGTCATTAGTTTCAACTTCCTAGTGGGAAGTAAAACCCAAATAACAATTCTCTCAGTCATCCATGGTGTATAGCTAAGTGGGGACAGATGATTTGAAAATTAATATATTGTTTGTTTTAGGTGCTTTGTTTTCATTTTAAGTTGTTTCTGCATCTAGTTTGAAGCTGCTGGGTATAAAGATGAGCATTTCTGATAGAAGTTTCTGAGAACATACATTGTAGAGTTGTGTGATGACATGCGTTTTATTCTGATTGCGTTTATCCTAGCACCTCATTTTGTTCCTGGCATTACCTGTTTCCCATGCTCTTCCCCCATTCCTACTAGGATTAAGGTCAGTAATTAATAGGAAAAGTATCCTTACTTCTCTTCTAATAAACTGTGTCTGTTTTAGTTTGATGGTATCCATGTGGTCAGTGGATCTCTTGATACATCAATCCGAGTTTGGGATGTGGAGACAGGGAATTGCATTCACACGTTAACAGGGCATCAGTCGTTAACAAGTGGAATGGAACTCAAAGACAATATTCTTGTCTCTGGGAATGCAGATTCTACAGTTAAAATCTGGGATATCAAAACAGGACAGTGTTTACAAACGTTGCAAGGTAAGTATTGGATACTCACTTTTAGTTTTGTTCATTAAAAATGAAATTGTTATTCAAGGGAAATATGGAGCTTTAGCATTACAAAAATAGCCAATCTCGTATAGAATGCTTACTTCAGAAAAGTTTATGAATATTTTTACCCTGACTTAACAGAACTAGTCCACTCTTGAGGAGATGTTTTAAACTGTGTTTTTAATATGTAATATAAAATTGTTTAATCACTTCCTGCATGTTCAGTTGACTCTACTTAACCTTAAAGAACAGTGAAAAGAAAGATCTTGGCTATATCATAGAAGCAACTTACTCATTATAATTTTTGATTGACCATTGCATTTTTAATTTGTCCAATTTTAAAGGGCCACCTTATTGAAAAAAACAAAAGCATCCCTGATAGAAAATTGTTTTGGTCTCCCATTTAGTCACGTGCTTACCTGGAATGGAGAGGTATAATAGTACCTACTAAAGTAGAGAAAGAGACAAGTGAAAATCACTAATATTAGATGAGGTAAACAGTGCCTCATGATCAACTTTTTCTATTTGGTGCAGCCCTTAGAAAGTGTTTGTTTTTTTTGGTGGGGCCATCTGATAGGCAACATTGCAGCTTTTTATTTATTGGTTTTGTCTCGCCTCAGAGTTTTGGAATAGTGTCCATTCAGCTTTGACTGGTTCATAGTGGTGAGGGTAATAGATCTCTAGGTGCTCATTTGTCCATCAGCAGAAAGCGTAAAGTTGTACTATCTACATCCTCACCAAGGAATGCTCTCTGACACAGCCAAAAATAAGATGTTTGTCTGGTAGCTAACCAAGCTTCTTGGACGACAGACCTCTTGAAAGTTAATGTTCCAATTACAAATCACTACCAGATTTTCTTATATCCATGCTGATCCTAAAATACTGAGGACATAGGTTTCTAAATAAGTATCACTTCAAATGTTGCATTTATTGTATGTTCTAAAGTAGAAGTCTACAAATTATAATGTAACTAACCCATAGCCATTATTGCTAACCAGTAATTAAATTCTTTTGGTTTTCTTCTAGGTCCCAACAAGCATCAGAGTGCTGTGACCTGTTTACAGTTCAACAAGAACTTTGTAATTACCAGCTCAGATGATGGAACTGTAAAACTATGGGACTTGAAAACGGGTGAATTTATTCGAAACCTAGTCACATTGGAGAGTGGGGGGAGTGGGGGAGTTGTGTGGCGGATCAGAGCCTCAAACACAAAGCTGGTGTGTGCAGTTGGGAGTCGGAATGGGACTGAAGAAACCAAGCTGCTGGTGCTGGACTTTGATGTGGACATGAAGTGAAGAGCAGAAAAGATGAATTTGTCCAATTGTGTAGACAATATACTCCCTGCCCTTCCCCCTGCAAAAAAGAAAAAAAGAAAAGAAAAAGAAAAAAATCCCTTGTTCTCAGTGGTGCAGGATGTTGGCTTGGGGCAACAGATTGAAAAGACCTACAGACTAAGAAGGAAAAGAAGAAGAGATGACAAACCATAACTGACAAGAGAGGCGTCTGCTGTCTCATCACATAAAAGGCTTCACTTTTGACTGAGGGCAGCTTTGCAAAATGAGACTTTCTAAATCAAACCAGGTGCAATTATTTCTTTATTTTCTTCTCCAGTGGTCATTGGGCAGTGTTAATACTGAAACATCATTACAGATTCTGCTAGCCTGTTCTTTTACCACTGACACCTAGAAAGGAACTGCAATAACATCAAAACACGTACTGGTTGACTTTCTAATTAGAGAGCATCTGCAACAAAAAGTCATTTTTCTGGAGTGGAAAAGCTTAAAAAAATTACTGTGAATTGTTTCTGTACAGTTATCATGAAAAGCTTTTTTTTTTTTTTTTTTTTGCCAACCATTGCCAATGTCAATCAATCACAGTATTAGCCTCTGTTAATCTATTTACTGTTGCTTCCATATACATTCTTCAATGCATATGTTGCTCAAAGGTGGCAAGTTGTCCTGGGTTCTGTGAGTCCTGAGATGGATTTAATTCTTGATGCTGGTGCTAGAAGTAGGTCTTCAAATATGGGATTGTTGTCCCACCCCTGTACTGTACTCCCAGTGGCCAAACTTATTTATGCTGCTAAATGAAAGAAAGAAAAAAGCAAATTATTTTTTTTTTATTTTTTTTCTGCTGTGACGTTTTAGTCCCAGACTGAATTCCAAATTTGCTCTAGTTTGGTTACGGAAAAAAGACTTTTTGCCACTGAAACTTGAGCCATCTGTGCCTCTAAGAGGCTGAGAATGGAAGAGTTTCAGATAATAAAGAGTGAAGTTTGCCTGCAAGTAAAGAATTGAGAGTGTGTGCAAAGCTTATTTTCTTTTATCTGGGCAAAAATTAAAACACATTCCTTGGAACAGAGCTATTACTTGCCTGTTCTGTGGAGAAACTTTTCTTTTTGAGGGCTGTGGTGAATGGATGAACGTACATCGTAAAACTGACAAAATATTTTAAAAATATATAAAACACAAAATTAAAATAAAGTTGCTGGTCAGTCTTAGTGTTTTACAGTATTTGGGAAAACAACTGTTACAGTTTTATTGCTCTGAGTAACTGACAAAGCAGAAACTATTCAGTTTTTATGGTAAAGGCGTCACATGCAAACAAACAAAATGAATGAAAAAGTCAGATGGTTTGCCTCATTCTCCAAGAGCCACAACTCAAGCTGAACTGTGAAAGTGGTTTAACACTGTATCCTAGGTGATCTTTTTTTCCTCCTTCTGTTTATTTTTTTTTGTTTGTTTTATTTATAGTCTGATTTAAAACAATCAGATTCAAGTTGGTTAATTTTAGTTATGTAACAACCTGACATGATGGAGGAAAACAACCTTTAAAGGGATTGTGTCTATGGTTTGATTCACTTAGAAATTTTATTTTCTTATAACTTAAGTGCAATAAAATGTGTTTTTTCATGTTAGTATGTCTGTTTCTTCCATTGAAGTAATAATACTTCATTATAAGTATTTACGATTTGTCTATAATATTTAAATCAGCAAAGTCTTGGTTTCTTTGCCTCTCCTGCTGTGTGACATAGAAATCAATACTTCAAGCCTATTTTATACAGGAAAGTAAGGATAATGTGCTGCAACTGCAAATTTTATTTCTCTCCTAGACTACAAAGGAGGACAATCCACTGTGCTCATCTCTGTAGATTGCATAGATGAGCAATCTACACTCATTAGAGATATAAATATGAAGTCTGGTTCCCTCAAAGAATCACAAAACTTTTGTGATAATTACAACTAGAAGGCTTATAAGTAACAAATGTGTTTCGAAATTTTGACCACATTTTAAGTGCTTACCCTAAATACTTTCTGTTCATTCTCTCTCAAGCTCCCACTATCCCTGAGAAGTAGGCATTATTATCTCCCATTTTATGGACGAGCAAAAATCTGCAGCTGAGACTGGTTAGGCGATTTGTCACATCATCTAACTAGCAGAACGCCAGGAGTCAAACCCATATTTCCAAAGACTAAGTAAATACATGTCGTCTTTTAAGAAAGTTTGACAGACTAAAGCAAGGTTTGAGAGGGAAATAAGCCATTTTTCTGGTATTTTCTGACTCTTCTGTAGCCATTTTGTTCAACAAATCTAGTATTTTATAATGTAAGGGGAAAAATAAAGTTTTTGAAACTACGTAGTTCTAAATATATTTAATATCTCAAATAGCAGGAGATATATATATATATATATATGTATACTCAACTAACCAGGCCACAGATGAAAATCTAAAAGTTACTAAAAATGGACTTCTTTCTCATAGTCATGAAGTATGTGTTCTTTACTCATAGGGCAAGTCCTGGGCCTCATTCTCCCAAAGCTACTAAATCAGAACATCTGGGAGTGTGACCCAAGAACCTGCATTTAAACTAGCTCACCAGGTGAGTTGTGGATACTAAAGTTTCAGAGCCACTGCTTTAGATACCATTTCTGTACATTTGGTTATTTGATTAATAAATAGTAAGTCCACAGCAAATTACAGATACAAAAATAATAAGGGAAAGTGACAGGGTAAAGGAAAAAAAAAAAAAAAAAACTACCTCGTTAAATGCAAGGCAAAAATCCTACTAGGCCATGAAGTGCAGGGTCTTTAGAATAAACCAGGTTACAGCCCAAACCGTGACTACTGTTCACTTTGATGACTGTGAATTGTCAAGAAAAAGTTGTAATTCTTTTGATACTTCTTGAAACTGCTTGATTTTTCATAAAAGCATGTAAATGAGATTTAACTATATAATATAATTGAAGAGAAACAGCCATTTTTAGAACTTCAGCGAATAGAATGAGTTCACAGGCTTTGCAGACAAATAGGCCTGAATTCATATCTCAGCTCTAATATGGCCTAGTTAGTGGGACCTTTATCACATTTCTTGAACTCACATTTCCTCATTTAATATGTAGAGGATACCCGTCTCCGAAGGTTATTATAAAAAGATAAAGTGAAACGTTGCAAAGCACATAGCATACTGATGGCATTTAGACCTCAGTAAATGGTAGCTTCTATTAAATTTTTTAAGTAAATAGACCCAGATAACTTTCCGTATTTGAGAATTGAATGTATTTGTGACTCATTCAGATTATGTAAAAAAAAATTGTGTGTGTGTGTGTGTGCGCGCACACACACAGAGCAATCCATTAAGTGGAGCCACCTAGATTTTCATTCGAGTCTTACAGAAACCTTGTGAGATCGACTGATATTGAGCACCTAACAGTGATTTTGTATATACAGTCATCCCTCAGTATCTGGGGGAGATTGGTTTTAGGATCCCCCCACCCCACCCCCATGGATATCAAAGTTCATGGATGTTCAAGTCACTGATAGAAAATGGCATAGTATTTCCATGTAACATATGCAAATCTTCCCGTATACTTTAAGTCATCTCTAGATTACTCATAATACCTAAGACAATGTAAATACTATGTGAATAGTTATTGTACTGTTTTGTTTAGGGAATCATGACAAGGGAAAAAGTCTGTACGTGTTCAATACAGACACAACCATCCTTTTTTTTTCAAATATTTTTGACTCTCGTTTGGTTGAATTCATGGATGCAGAACCCACAAATAATGGAGGGATGACTGTATTTAGGTGTTAATTAAATATCATTTTATGAATAAATGAATAATCTTTATTATGATAGATCTTTTCTTGAAAATGTTAGCATCATTCTAGAATCAAAATTATAGTAGTAAAAAAAAAGGTCACCAAGAGAACTCCATTTTTTGGCCTTCTTAATGAAAAAATGGATCACATTATATAACTGTATATTTTCAAATCTTCATAACAGATATAAGTACTCTTCATATTTAGATGTTACAAGTTCCCAAATATCAAACATTGCCTGAAACTAAGGCTGAAATTAGGACACAAAAGTAACACATTAAAGCCAGTAGCAGGTATTTAGTATACTTCTTGAATTGAGCAGAGAGTTGATTATCTCACTATTTTTTATTAGAATTGTTTATAATTTTGACACTTTGAAACCCCCTTACTGAGATTCAATTACCACAGCTATTTCATTAGTTTGCAACAGCTAATGCCTACCAAATGGTTAAGTAAATGTTTCAGCCAACCTTATTTGTTTCATTTCAAAAAAGTAATTGACATTTAGTTATTTGTATTAACTGCTTTAAGCCATTTTCTTTACCCGCTTTGAGCTAGCCTGTTTTAAACTCTTCTATTTCCCTGAATTGATTAGAGGCTACAAAAGACCTCTGTGCTTTTCTCTCCCCTAAAGTGAAATGGGGATCAAGGGCAGCTTTCCCAGACCCAGCTGAGCCCTGGTTTTCTGTACACTTCTCCCTGAGATATGCATTGAACACTGAAACAAAGTTACGTAAGTGGAGAAGAGAAGACATCTCAGAGGCGCCTACCCACCACTGTCCTTGCCCCTGTAACTCCCTCTATTCCATGTTGAAACCAGAAACATGGAACTCCATTGCTTACATTTTTTCTGGTTGGCTCCCTCCGGGAGAAGGAAAGTTTTTGAAATATTTCACCCCAATCAGTACCCCCTCAGACACAGCTTCATTTTCATTCTTTGAGTCGTCCCCTGCCCCAATAAAAATCAGAATTGTAACTATACTCCCTCAGGTTCATCAGCCAATAAAGGATCCAACCTTGTCCCTTACAGCAATTGTAAGAGAACCTCCTATTTTGCAGTGCAATTTGTAATTCTAATAATAGAAGTGGCTTAGGTTTGCTGATGAATGGATTTGAATAAATGCTTCTGACATAGATTTTTTTAATGTTCCCTGCCTTACTACATTTTGAAGATGGCTTTTGTTTGTGTGTGTATGTGTATACACATACATACACAAGTATATGTTGGAAACTGAGAATAAGCCTCTTGTTCTTACTGAGTCATACCATTATTCCCTTTGGCCTCTTTTTTTTCACCTATCAAAAGTAAGGAATAGGCCATAAAGAGAAAGGGTTGGTGGCCAAGAGGAGACTTCCTAATGTTCCTCTCCATGATAGATTAGTGGCCTCTGTGTCTGAAGAGAGTGGCATATGTGTGTATGCATAATGTTCCTGGAGTCTTGCATCTAGCAACCATATGGTAATTTGAAAAGTTGATGCATAATTTTTGATTTGGGCATTTCCTGCTGCCCAGGAGATGGATATGAAGTTAGATCCAAGCTGCACCCAGCTCCTTTTCTGGGGAGTGCCTAGTCATTGCTTTGAATTGCAAACAAACGTAGCAAGATCTGGCGTTGTTGACTAACCAACATGTCTCATCCATTCAGTTAATACTAGTGATGCCCAAATGAGTGAGGTTCTTGCCAACTTTGTCCCCTGCCACCTTCTCTTTCTAGGTTGAATGAGACAAAAAATTTCAAGATTCTTCAGGGAAAGGAAAAGCACCAAAAGCTGAAAGGATTCAGAATGCACCTTTCTCCAGAGCGTGAAGTATAAACAAATTCTAGATCCAGTTCCTAGGATTGCTGACATGAAAAACCTGGCGACTTCCCAATTTGCAGTTGGGTATAAAAATAGCAGAGTTTCTATTTCAGATGATCTGATTCTCCCTAGGATTCTTAAGGACAAGAAGCCACTGAGTGGACATTTTGATGTTTCATTCTTTCCTTTGGATGATCTATGATGGCAAAACCTATGAAGGCCGTTTGGATTCTATTTTGCTTCAGCAGCCATGCTCTGCAAGTAAAATTATTTTGAAACCACTTGCAAATCAAAGATTCAAATGTAATAGACCACAAAAATATATTACCAGTTTACCCTTTTCCATGAGGTTCATTGATTATAAAAAAAAACATTAAACCCCACTACTCACCTAGAGGGGAAGGTTATTTGCAAGGCTTTTTAAACTTACGTTGCACCCACTAAGAATTCATCAGACCCTTTCTCCTTACTAAATGTAGTTAGAAAAACTACAAGTCTTTCAATTTGAGTATGCTCTCCACTCCTTTAAAGGGAATTTGAGTAGCTTAAATACATCCAGCAAGAACACAGTATGGTATAGAGATAAAGAGCAAAACCACATATATCTCTGGTCAGGGTTGGATCTGGGTTTTCGGAGCCTGAAGCTTAACCATACAATTAGATCCAAAAATAAACATTTGGAATGAGAAAGATGATAAATTACGGAAGTCTAGGAAATGCAGATACCTTTTCTTTCGGTATCTTTTTTTTCAGAGCCTTGCTCTGGGGCCCAGGCTGGAGTGTAGTGATGCAGTCTTGGCTAACTACAGCTTCTACGTCCTGGGGTCAAGCTATTCTCCTGCATCAGCCTCCTGAGTAGCTGGGATTACAGGTGTGAACCACCAAGCCCGGCTAATTTTTCGTATGTTAGTGCAGATGGGACCTCACTATGTTGTCCCCAGGGTGGCCTCGAACTGAGCTCAGACTTAGGTAATCCGCCCACCTCGACCTCCGAAAGTGCTAGGATTACACGT